ATAGGATGTCTAAGTTTTATTTGTTTTTAAATTACCAAGATGAATTTTGTAGCACTTCTAAAAATATGTATGTCGATATTATTTTGTTTATAGTATCTGCAGATGGATTATTGTCTGAATTGGTGTTTTACTGTGTAAGTATCCTTCTAGTATTTTGTGAACTAAGTATTCTTTATAAAGTGAATATGTCTTGATGGTGAATTTGTTTATACATCTTAGGAAATGGTTCTTCCGATTATCTTGTCTTATATGTTATTTTCCATTAACTATAATTTGGCAATTTATTCAAATCTTTTTTCCCGACAGGTTTACAAACGCAGTTATGATATATGCATGCATCTGTATGAGAAAGATCTTTTGACAGAAGATTCTTATCTCCACATATACGGGTATGCTTCTTTGTGGCCAGGCATATGTTATTTATTTATTTATCTTTTCTTTTTCGGTATTTGGGCAATTCTCTCTGGTCTTGGGCACGACTCCTCTCCAATCCTCCCAATCCATCAATTTCCCTAGTTCATGCTTTTGTTTTGTTGACCAAAATTTCTTTTAAAGGTCTTTTAAAATTATTACACGTCACTTAATTGTTTTGAGGTTTTTCACATGCCTTGTACATTTTAAATGTTAGACTAGTTTTCCCCTCAGAGAGCACACATCTTTTCTGAATTTCATTGTTCAAGCCCACCACCACTCTGTACCAAAGATCTGGTCACGTTAAAGCTCCATTAGAAGTTTCCTATAAGTTGGTAGGGATTGTTTAAAAATCGTGTGCCTTCAATTAAATTGGTGAGATGACCTTGTTGGATTATACTATGAATTGAGGAAATACGAATATATGATAATGGGGAGGGAGTCCAGTTTTTTTTCCCTTTCTGTAAGTATGATTACCTTGGTTTATATATTATAATGACTTCAATTTACATTATTTTCTATTTTGATGCAGGTTGCAAGGTGCTGGTTTCAATTCTCAGCAGCTTGCCATTGTTTCCGTATGATGCCACCTTTTTTTCTTTTATACATTGTTCAAATTTAACCGTTGGCTAATCTTCATCTGAATTGTTTTGTATCTTATCTACTTTTCCAATATGATTCTCATTGTTCATTAATTCTAACTATGTATTAATGAGTTTTTACATATGAGGACTAGTTAAATATTAAGTGCTTTGGCACAGTCATAAGTTGATAATCTGTTTCCTTATTGAGCAATGTAATATATACTTATGTTACACGAGGAACTCAATGTTTTGTCTTTTGTTGATTATTGCACAATATAAAAGGTTATACACTACTTATACTAGATTCATTGTTAAATGGTTTCAGGGTCTTTGTGAGTGGAGGGACGTTGTTGCCCGTGCAGAGGATGAAAGCACTGGCTATATATTACCAAATAAAACTCTTCTTGAAATTGGTAATACTTTTATAGAGTTCCTTGTTCTTCAAGCTCAATATTAGTTATTTTCTCTTTTTATACAGTAGACATCTGACTTTTTTAATTTTGTTTTTCATCGGTAAAAGCTAAACAGATGCCTGTCACCACTAGCAAGTTAAGGCGGTTGGTGAAATCAAAGCATCCATACATTGAGCGTAATCTTGGGTCAGTTGTTAGTATCATTAGACATTCTATGCAAAATGCTGCTTCTTTTGAGCCTGCTGTTGAACATCTGGCGGCACGCGCAAGAATGGTAAGCCCTATGTTTAATTGTTTGGTGATCATGAAGACTGGGCATTCATGTTTGCCTTTCTGTATTAGGCTTTCATTCGTGTTACCTATGGAATGTTATGGACAAAAAACTACTTTGCATGTATTGGGTGACATTTAACTATTCTATCATGATAAAATCACTGTCCTTTTCTCCTCCTCCATTTTCAAATTTATATTTATATTTAACTGTAATTCAATGACTATTTATTTCTTCACATTTTTATCTATAGTTAACAGTACACCTTTTTGCAGGCATCTGAAGAGAGAATATTGGTCAATGATGGGTCTGAAGCCTTGTTACCGGATCAATCTGTCAGCAATTCGACTAATGGTGATGTATCTGCAGTTTCACCCCCGTCTAAGCAGCATAAAATGGAGTATAAGGAGATTGCATTTGGTGCCTCTGAACTTGTAAGAAATGGACAAGGAAACTCTCTTGAAGGCAGCCCCATTTCAGTAAATCTTAGGCAAAACAGTGTTCCGGGGCAAAACAGAGAAGCAAGCAGCATTGCCTGTTTATTAGATTCAGCAAAGGTTTACATCCAGTGGCTTTTTTTTGGATGTTTATCTTGTTTTATTTCTTGCTCGTAAAGCTCTAGTCTTAAAATAGTTGTGAATTTCTGTTGTAGGTTACTGGAGTTAGTGTTCAGGTGCAAAAGAAGCCTAGCCGTGCCTTTAGTTCGCTGTTGGGGAGTTCAGTTCCAAAAAGAAAGTTTGACGCTGATAAAAAGGTCAGTAACTAAGAAGAAAGCTGTTGTAAATTATATGCGTTGCATGGAATAGGCCATCTTTGTCTTGTATTTTACTTGCAATCGCAGCTAGGCCTAAATCTTGCACCGTTATACATTACAAGTCAAGTAGAAATATTGCAACAACAAATGTTTTGTTATATGGATTGCTCACCTTCTACACAGAGCATTCAAGTGATCAATGACCGTCCTTTTTTACCCTGACTAATTGAATCCATATATTGGTGGTGGTTTCTTTTTTATTTATACAACTCATTTTTCGTGTAATCTTCTTTAGTAACTTGTACATTATTAACTCTTGTGCTACTTGATTGTCTTTCTAGGACAAGGAAGGTTATAAGTTGGAGCAAATTAGATCTTCAGTGAACTTCCCATTCCGCTCATTTTCGGGCGGGAGTGAGAAAACCAAACCAATCGTGGAAGCACAAGATAAAAGTTCTGATACTCCCCATTCTGAAGGGCCGCTTACTGCATCACCCCCTGGGTCTGGTTTAGATGACATCATAACGTTGGAAAATGACTCAGATGGAGGTGAGCCAGTAGATGGTTCCTCAGAAACCAGAAATGAGCCCGAGGAAAATGATTCAGTACCATCAGCTTTGGAAGGGGATAGGGAAGACGAACCTGTGTCTCTCTCTGGTTTGTCCTCAAGCTTCCAAAATTGCTTTGAGTCGCTTAACCAAAACAGGAAGACAAGAGAAGTTGAGAAGTCCCTGGAATCTGGTGGTTTGCAGGTGAAGCCTTTCGACTATGAGGCAGCAAAGGGTCAGGTCATATTTGGAGCTAAACCGATCAGGGAAGCTGGAGCTGCGGAAGGTGTAAAGAGCTTAAATTCAGCGGGAAAGAAAAAAGCTTTAGCCGGTCGAGTTTCAAACGATGATGGGTCAAAAGAACTAGGACAGGGTAGACGACGCCAAGCTTTTCCGGCGACTGGAAATAGAAGTGCGACATTTCGTTAAGTTTCCGGCCTAGATTTGTTCTGTATCATTGTAGAAATGACAAAACTTTTCAAGTTGTCAAAAGAAATGCAACGAAATTGGAAGTTAAGAAGGAGAATGAAATTAGAAGTGTTTTCTTTAACCAATGTACGTACATGTTAAGATTGTTTTCCGCCACGTCATCTGGGAATGGGTTCATAACTATAATTGAAGTAGAAAATACTCAAAAAGTAAACGAAACAGGCTCGAAAGCTTCTTGGTCATCGGAAAAAGATGGGAAGTAAGCAGAATGGGAAGTAAGCAGAAGTCAGGTGGAAAGTTATTAATAAGTCTTGTACAACCGAGATACCATGCTATGGATGGAAAGGAATTATGCCATTGTATCTTGGCGTGAGTTTGAACTCTGTCGGCTCTCTAATTTAACATCTAACCATCAAGCTATCGTCTTTAAAAAAAAAAAAATGTCAATCTCACCAGACCAGACCAGCATAGTCGTATAATAATCGTAAATGTGTGTCCATCTCCACCATCCTGTTACTGCTAGTCGGTGACTCCTTGAAGTGAGAGATGTTGCCGGAATTGTGGCTTAACGCCCAGACGCCCGTGTTCCGGCTTGAATCGGTGGTCGTGTCTCCGCTTCACCATCCTTGTTGTAAACCCCAACAAGGCGGACTTGTCCTAGGAACGCCGTGACAGACTGATGCTCACATCCACGCCGTTGCCTCCCATGTTTATAACCAAGTGGAAGAACCAAAGCCTCACTTTCAGTCACGCAATGGTGAGTGCGCATGTGGAAGATGACGTGGCTAAGGAATGCAATGCTTTCGTCGAATTCAGCACGAAGTTGATTTTCTTAGGGCAGCTACCCTGCTGCTGGTGAGGTGGCAGTGGTGGCGGCAACAACAGCAGCTGTGTTATGTCTTTGCAGGATAAGGATTAGATTCTTCTTTTTACAGTTTGGTGCTATCTCTCTTCAATTATAAATGAGATGTGTTATGTTTGATTCTCGCCTAATGTGAAATTTGAACCACATTAGTGTTAGCTCATTGTAAGGCTAAACTCATCCCCTACTCTTATATAGATAATATCGTTTGTTAAAAAAAATAAAAAATAAAAAATAAAAATAATAAAACCTTTTTGGCTCTCTCTAATTTTTATTGAACTCTCTTTTGTAACGTGTATTGAATCTTCCCTCGTTCAGTGAAATTTACGTTGTTTTCGAAAAAAAGACAAGAAGAAACACTGTTGACACTATGTGTCAAAAGTGCTTTAACTAAAAGCACTGCGAACTGTTTAAAACAAAAATCTAAGCCACAGTAAGAATAATACAATTGACTCCTGAGAGAGTAATACGTGGTTGATTTTCTCGCAGCCAAATTACCAATTACAAGGTCAAAGCCAACGGTATTTGCCATTTGAGTATGGGCTATTTGGTCATTTTACATTTTGGTGTGACCAGCTAAGCCTAAAACCGCGGGTGGGGGTTGGGGAGCGACACCACCGCCAGTTTCAGTTCAAATCTATGGGTACTAATGGCGGAACTGCAGAACCTTGTTCTTAACATTTCCTTAGTTTTTTCCCACAATCTACACGCTTATTTCCTCTTCCGCACCACAATTCCACCCATGCAGCCCCTGGTTTTGGTTTCTCTCTCCTCCTCTCTCTCGATGGCTCAATCCTTATATTAATCCTTGATCTTCCCCTCTCTCCCACTGTTAAATAATATCATCATCGTCCCACTTCTCTTTGCTTTGAGAATCAGTTGTTTCTCTTGCTTCTTCGTTTCTTAATTTGGATGTTGAGTTCTGGGTTTTGAAGGAGAAAGTCTTCTGCCGCATCTGAAGTGAATATATAGTTACACACACACACACACACACACACACACACATATATATATATATATATATATATTACACCTATGACTATGGAGACTGCGAGAGTGGTGGAGCAGGGAAGACATCAGAGGGTTGTTTCGCGTGTTGGGCACGCTAGCAGCAGCAGCAAGGTTAGGTATCAAGTGAAACAGGGTATAAGGAAGAGAAAATGGAGCCGGAAGATTCAGCATCCTCTTTCGTTGGCGCCGCCGCCGACTGTTCCAACCCCGCTGCAACAGCTGTTTGATGCGTGCAGACATGTTTTCAAAGGCCATGGAACCGTTCCTTTGCCTCATCATGTGCACAAGCTGTGTCGCATTCTCGGTACGTTTTTCGGATTTACCAAGTTTCATACTTTACTTTTGTCTCTTCGATTTCCTGTCGCCTTTTCGATCAATGTATGTGCGTGCATCTGTGCCATGACATAGATTCGCGTCGTTCTGTCTTGGGGAAAAAAAAATCCAAATTTGCCAAGATCGAAAAGAATTCGATAGCGTTGCTATAATTAGGAATATAAACCTCGTTCAGTTTTAGGAAAAATTGCAAATTTCAGGTGCTTTCTAAATATGTAGGTTTAGGAACCCTATTGGTACGGATAGTTTTATGAATGAAAATGATATGCCGTCCAAATAAAGTATCGATCCATTTCACGTTGAAGGAAACATTGTCCAAGTTGATTGCATTACTGCATGTTTAATGTGGACGCCCTCCATCTTCTTGACAAGCCAATTTTATTGTGGTACTGTAGATGATATGACACCAGAAGACATTGGGCTGAGTAGGAATCTGCAGTTCTTCAAGCCTAAGGCTGTTGTGAAAGGGACTCCTAGGGTCACGTATACGACCATATACGAGTGCAATAAATTTTCGGTAAGTCTAGTACTTCCTTCTACCTAGTTTGCCCAGTATTTACTTCGGTCGCTTTCTGCAGAACCGACTATTAGTTCCTTTAAGATCACCATATAGGGTTCTTTACTAGTTAAATTAATAGCATATAAACATTATGGGTGATTTGCAAAGTTTCTTTTTCAAAAACCATTTATTCGGTCGATTGTTGATTGGTTCTCCTGTTTATTTCCATGTGCAGTTGTGCTGCTTTTTTATTCCGGCAAATGGCGTTATCCCACTCCATAACCATCCAGATATGACTGTTTTCAGCAAGCTTCTACTAGGCAAGATGCATATTAAATCATACGATTGGGTTGATCCCGTTAATTCAGATGGCTCCACGCCAGCCTCTCAATGTAAGTCAATATCACTCTCCTGTAAAATTAAAACAAAAAATAAAAACTTCTGGGACCATGTCTTAACCGGTATCTAATACTATTAGGATGATTTTGCAGTGAGACTGGCCGAGTTGAAAGCTGATAGCGTCTTCACAGCCCCTTGCAATGCATCGGTACTCTATCCAACAAAAGGTGGCAACATCCATGCCTTCACAGCCATAACACCATGTGCAGTGCTCGATGTGATTGGGCCTCCGTATTCTAAAGAAGATGGCCGGGATTGCTCCTATTACAAAGATCATCCCTATGCTGCATATTCAAGTAAGTGACCTCTTGCTCTGTGGCCTTCATCACTTGCTTCTTTGACAAATTGCCAAATATATGAGTTTGGCTTTGACCTATTGTGACAACCACCAAATTATGGTGTGATGCGTATTATAATTTTTCAAATTAGTGTTCTCGGACTTACATTCATGTAAAGTACACAATCAATGTGAGAGAACGTAGGAAAGAGATGTGCACGATGCAATTTGTGAGCCATTTGGCGATACAAAAGAGAATTTTAATCTACGAGATGAAACATCTTTTAGGTGACGCGGCTGCGTTTTATATTCTCAAGAACCACTACGCCGGTATTCTATCTAACCACTGAAGAAATTTGAACTCCTGATTTCTCAATTGGTTTAACGCAGAAATATTGTATCAATAGAAAATTCTCAAATTCTTTGAAACTTAGTTCGCAGCCATATGTTAACTTGTGAAGCAAGTGCAGAGCTTAATATACGTAAAACTTTGATTACTGGAATTTGATGCATTTTTGAGTTTATAAGCTATATCTTATTCGCTTGCCAATGTTTCGATGCAGATGGAGGAGCAGCAGTAACTGAAGAGAAACGCGATTGTTATGGATGGTTGGAAGAGATTGAAATGCCTGAGAACGCAGAAATGGATATAATTGAGTACTTGGGTCCACAAGTTAGTGAGACGAGTTCGTAGCACTCCCGATGTATGTCCTCGAATATATATTCTTCTCCACGCTCTGCTCCAAACGGAAATCTCTCTTTTTTCTTTGGTACAGTGTTTGAATTAAGATAAGATGGTTGTTGAGCTTCCTTTCGTTATTTTGTTCTTTCATATGTACCATACTTTACATGTTTTGAGAAAAAAAGTTGGGTGGATTTGGTTAACATTTGCGCTCATGGTTTATGAATTTGACTAACCTCTTGGAATTCAAATTTTGTACTCATAACTTTTTGAAACTCAACTCGTGTCGTGTTTCACTTTGCCTTTATATTGTTAAAGTCCATTGAATAAATTTGTTAAAGCGATTACATGGCAAAAATCCTAAAAAAATTGTTAAGAGTTATTTTCTTATTTGGATAAGAAAACTTCGACTTAAATTTGTTTTTGTTTATTAATTTTCCAATCATATCTCAACGACAAGGGGTTTTATTTGTGCCACATAACAATTTTGATAGATTTGTTAACGAATTTTGACGGTAAAGGTAAAGTGAGATACGAGTTGAGTTTCAATTTAGGAAATAAAATGACAAAATTTGTGTTTTAGGGAGTTAATTGAGATATGAGTTGAGTTTTAGTGGCCAATAAATTGTAGACTGTTGAGAGAGAGAATCTCACGTCTGGGCAAACATAAACCGCTTCAAGGCTTCAAGACACAAATTAGGGGTGGATTGGATCTGAGAATGAAGGAGGTTAGACATATAGGGCCTACTTGGTGGGCTGTATGAGATTGAGTCTTAGGGATAAGAGTCAATTGGCAGAGACATGTAAGACATAATTTGTAATCCATGCATAAGGATAGATTAGATAACTACTCTATTGTGGATACGTAATCTATCATTTCTAGTTATGTCCATCTTATATTTTTACACAACAAATAAGAGATTAGACTAAAGTTCATTCTAATTGTTCACAACCTATCTCAACTAGTCAACCAACCAGGCCCATACGGCTTCAAGACACAAATTAGGGGTGGGTTGGACCTGAGAATGCAGGAGGTGAGATAGGAGGAGTTTTATGTGTGTTGGTCGGATGGGTATGTTCGTCCGGCCGGCCGAATATAAATTTCTGGACTGAAATAGCACTAGAGTGGAGTCCTAGATCAAGTGAAAAGGGGGACATGACCTAAGTGGATCTCCTGTTCCAGGGGGCCTGTACCTTTAATAAAGCATATCATATCTAATCACCCGCCAAGTCTATCTTCATATGTCCTATGAAAGAACAATGTCCATTGAAAAATAAAAATCTTGGAGTGTATAATGAATTCTCAATGATTATGGGTTTGAACTTCTGAAATTCATGAGAAACTAATAAATTATTGGATAACCACGACAAGTGATCCAGTGAAAATGCAGTAGAATTTCTAGTCAGGTATGCTCTTTGGTCTTGGTTTGAGTTACAAAGCTAGCAAAAATACGAGTGATTTCCTAGCTGAAAGCTTTGGGAGGACATGTGCCATTTGACTGTGACCAGGGGTGGGTTGAAATGCCTTTAGCCTTTTCAAGCCTCACTAGGAATTTTTTTTTTAACAAATGATTATCTACACTAAGGGGAAGGGGATGAGATTAGCCTCACAATGGGCTAGCAATCATATGGTTCAAACTCATCTTTGGCGAGAATCGAACCTAAGACCTCTCACTTACAAGTGAAGAGGAATACCACTAGACCGTAGTACTAAGTGGCAAAAAATAAACCAATTATCAGGCCTCAAGTCTACAATTTAGGGTATGGGATACCTCATGCTATGACAAAAAATAAACCAATTATCAGATTCAAATATAAGATATTAATTAAACATTGATGATATAACGATCAAAGATTTGACGATATTGTGATCAACTATTGAAAACTGATCAATTCAACAATTGAAATTTGAAAAATGATCATTTCAGCCAATTTTCACAAAAAAATAAAAATGTTATAACGATAAGAATTTTGATGATATTGTGATCAACTAGTGCAAAATGATCATTTCAGCAACTGAAATTTAAAAAAAAATGATGGCCAATTTACACAGAGGAAATTGGAGGAATGGTCCCTGAACTATGATCAGAATGTAGTTATGGTCCTTAAACTTAAAATTCATTAGATTTGGTCCTTGAACTTAACAAAATGTAGAGTATTGGTCCCTCCATACTAACACTGTGAGATTTTCCATTAGTTTGATGACGTGGTCTTTGTGGGCTCCATATTTTTGTTAATTAAATTCCACGTGGCTTAAAAATTCAAAATAAAAATAAATACAAACATAGAGAAAGAAAAAAAATAAAAATATAAAAGTTATCTCTGTCTCTCTCTCTCTCCCGTCTTTTCTTCTGCCCCGCCTCCGCCAAACCCCAGCCACAACATTGTAGCACTCTCCAAACAACCAAAACAAAAGAAAGTTTCTAATCCATTTCGAACACATCTCCCTTTGTAAATGAATTCACAATGACATCCATCCATGCTGTCTCGATAGGTAAGATTCAAGAGTTTTGTGGGATGCAGGTTCGAGATTTGGTCAAGGCTGTGCTTTGTGGGCTACAGGTTGGGGTTGGTTGGGGAGTGGGGATTAACGATTGGGGGTTGGAAGTGGGAGGTTGGTGGGGAGTGTATCAAAGATTGAAGTTGAAGGGTGGGCTGCGAGTGTTGGTGGATGAGGTAGGCCTGCAATTTTTGTTGTAATTTTCATCTTTTCTATTATATATAGGTGAAACTAACATGTAAACACTTTTAACTAAAACTTAATGGAATTGGTAATGACGGACTAACGCTCCACATCTTATCAAGTTCAAGGACCAAATATAATGATTTTTTAGTTTAGGGACTTGTTGACCTTAAAAACTATCAGGCCTACGTGGCGCGGATGCCGAGTAACTAATGAGCTAACTATGTCCTTCGGTTGCATGCAGGGCGTGCCAACTCGTCGCCCGAGGAGTAAAATTTGTTGATGTTGCGTTGGGTGCGCTGCTGACTTCTGAATCCTGTAACTGCGGCCGAGGAAGGAACACTCTCGACCCTCGGGTTCTAGAGCTTGAAGACAAAGTTACTAGTTCTGTGAAGTTCACAAATTGTCGGCACCAGATTCAGTCACGGTGATTATATTCGTAAGAGTATAAGCACGCCGAATCGACACCAGAGTATATGGACACAGATACTCAAAACAAATGTACGTCTTGATTGTGAAAGTGGTTCGGCTGTCAGAATGCCGAACTCTAAAACCTACTTGTGAATAACCAATCATAAACAACTCGGCGTTCAAAATGCCGAGCCCAGTAATTCGTAACACCTCATTTTGCAAAGAATACTAATGAGATGACCTCTGCCAATAAGGACTCAAAAATCCTTCTTGACCGAGACTTGGATAGATAACCAGTCGGCCTCGACGCAGTGCTGCTTATCCAAACTGAAGGTGCTCTGCGGTTGGCTAATTCTACGGCAACAGTGCTATTTATCCAAACTGAAGATGTGTCGGCAAAAGAAGAAAATAAAAATCTCAATGTTGTTGAGAGGTTTTGCAAAAGCGAGGGTTTGTGCAGAGCAGTTTGTGTGTTGAATTGGAGAGAGCCTAATGATGTCCTCCTCCCTCTATTTATAGTAGTCAACCTGCTTCCGCTCGAATCACAACCATACTTGGACTAGAACTCCTTCCCCTGATCTAACCTTATCTCGGCCATTCCTACTCCTACTAGGACTTTGAACTCAACCCCCCTATCAAACCGCATTCAATCCCAAACTTCTACATTCTTATCCTGTCAAAACTCCTTCTCGTATCAGGATTCAACCACTCATGGATTCCTAATAGAACACGGTCGGCCTTGGCTATGTGGCCCACAAGCCGGATGCCCCCCAACGACTCCTAAGCACGGCCTCTGGGCCGAGAGCAAATCTAAACTCGGCCCAAACTAATATTTTTGGGTCCAAACAGGACTAAAGCTACAATTATAGGATAGTTAAGGGACCATTCCTCCCATTTCCTCTTACACATAAGGTAAAGATGGTAAGAAACTTAAGTAGTTAAAAACATTAATTCTTATACAGAGGTCTTGAGTTCAACTCTTCATCGTTGACTTTAGAAGGCTCTCATTTCCATGTTGAATGATTCTTCCACTTAAAGTAAGTGGGTCTTTCAAACCCTAAAGGCTACAGTTGTGTCCCAACAAACACGAAATTGGAAAATGCTTTAAGCCTAAAGTTGATATGAGACCAGAAGACATTGGGCTGAGTAGGAATCTGCAGTTCTTCAAGCCTAAAACTGTTGTGAAGGGGACTCCTAGGGTCACGTATACAACCATATATGAGTGCAATAAATTTTCGGTAAGTCTAGTACTTCCTTCTACCTAGTTTGCCCAGTATTTACTTCGGTCGCTTTCCGCAGAACCGACTATAAGATCACCATATAGGGTGATTTGCAAAGTTTTCTTTTACAAAAACCATTTACTAGGTCGATTGTTGATTGGTTCTCCTGTTTATTTCCATGTGCAGTTGTGCTGCTTTTTTATTCCGGCAAATGGCGTTATCCCACTCCATAACCATCCATTTATGACTGTTTTCAGCAAGCTTCTACTAGGCAAGATGCATATTAAATCATACGATTGGGTTGATCCCGTTAATTCAGATGGCTCCACGCCAGCCCCACAATGTGAGTCAACATCACCCTCCTGTAAAGTTAAAAGTTAAAACAAAAAATAAAAACTATCTGGGACCGTGTCTTAACCGGTATCTAATACTATTAGGATGATTTTGCAGTGAGACTGGCCGAGTTGAAAGCTGATAGTGTCTTCACAGCCCCTTGCAATGCATCAGTACTATATCCAACAAAAGGTGGCAACATCCATGCATTCACGGCCATAACACCATGTGCAGTGCTCGATGTGATTGGACCTCCGTATTCTAAAGAAGATGGCCGGGATTGCTCATATGACAAAGATCATCCCTATGCTGCATCTTCAAGTAAGTGACCTCTTGCTCTGTGGCCTTCATCACTTGCTTCTTTGACAAATTGCCAAATATATGAGTTTATTGGCTTTGACCTATTGTGACAACCACCAAATTATGGTGTGATGCGTATTATAATTTTTCAAGTTAGTGTTCTCGGACTTACATTCATGTAAAGTACACAATCAATGTGAGAGAACGTAGGAAAGAGATGTGCACGATGCAATTTGTGAGCCATTTGGCGATACAGAAGAGAATTTTAATCTACGAGATCAAATATCTTTTGGTGACGCGGCTGTGTTTTATAT